ACGTACGTTAACGTACGTACACACAAGTAGGTAGTACGACGTAACCAACTATACTATATATATATATATATATATATATATATATATATATATATATATGGAAAAAGCTAACATAGGTCCACTAGCTCACAGTTATGTATGGGCCATAGCGAACGTAGGCCCACTAACTCACAGCTATGTATGAGCTCAATGGCTTAGATTCAATATGGGCATATATATATATATATATAAAAGCTAACGTAGGCCTACTAACTCATAGTTATGTATGAGCCCAATGGCCCAGATTCAATCTGGGCCAATATGACAGTTATGATCTCATTTTGCATTTGAATTTTAATATTTTTTTTACAAATCCAAATCACTTGAAATTTTACACGTTTATTCTTCTCATCAAGGCGCACCAAATAAAAATATTTAAAAAATAATTCACAAAATATAAATTGACCAAACTAGCATTAAAATATTTAAGGGGTATTTTTGTCAATTTAATTTTTACAAATTATTTTTTTCATATTTTTATTAGATTCTCTCATTTTTAAATAACACATACCTAAACTTTAAAGTAATTTAGATTTATAAAATAAATTAAAATTCAAATACAAAATACAATCGTGATCATTAAATCTGTTCACATTAAATCTGTTCATATTGAATCTGAGTCGATAGGCTCATATATAGCTCTGAGATAGTAGGCCTATGTCAGTTTTTCATCTGTACACCAAAAATGGTTTGATAGGGCTGCAAAACCTCATAACGCATTGAAAATTGCAATTCAAGCTATGGAAAACCTTTAACTCAATCATCTCAGCTTGAACATTATGGTTGTGAAAAAAAAAAAAGATTTCAAGATTTAAAACTAGTTTATATTTTGAGTTGTATTTCTTTTTATTATTATTTAATAAAAACCAGGTAGGGCCTTCTCTTTTAATATATATATATATAATAAAAAAAAAAAGCTTGTGTAAGCTTTTAATCTACAACTATATATGAATCCAATGGCTTAGATTTAATCTAATCTAATCCAATGATCACGATTGTATTTTGTATTTAAATTTTATTTTATTTTTTCTATAAATCAAATTTTGAGGGTATGTTTTTTAAAATTAAGATAATCTAATAAAAAGATATCATACGTTACCAGCGTAGGAAATGGATAGCTCACTTAAGAAAAAAAAGCCGTTGATTGAAATGGACGGTGATGAAGCGACCTTTTGTCAAGGGTGTTAATACCACTTTTGTCCAACGGGCAAAAAGGCTTTGCTAACGTGTACTCAAACTCTCTCTCCATAAAAAATAGAAGACCGTCCCTCTCGGTACAACAAAAACCAAGATTATTATAACTATATGAAATTGAATCTAAGTCGATCTGATAGTCACGATTATATTTTGTATTTTAATTTTAATATATTTTATACAAATCTAAATAATATGAAATTTGATACGTTCACTCTTCTCATCAAGGCACACCTAATAAAAATATTAAAAACATTATTTGTAATAAATATATTGACCAAAATATCTCTCAAAATTTCAAGGGTATTTTGATATATTTAATATTTATGAATTATTTTTTGATATTTTTATTAGATTCGTCTAATTTTTAAGAATCAACATTCTAAATTTCAAATGATTTGAATTTATAAAAATAAAATAAAATTCATATACAAAATGCAATTGTGACAATTAGATCAGCCTATGGACCGTTGGACGTTTACTATAGCTGTCACCTAATGGGCAAGCATCAGATTCTTGTGTGTTTGGAAAGAATTTATTTAAGGGTGAAGCTCTTAACAATCAAGTTAAGGCACACATCAAAAGTTCGCGAGAAAAGGTTGTTTCCACGCTAAAAAACTATCAATTCAATCATCTTGAACTCAAGATGCATGACCATGATAAAAAATAGATTTCAAATCTTAAAAATAGAATTTTATAATGCATTATCAAGACCATCACTTTCAAAGTGTTAATAGATCTGCTTTAACCTACCATACTTTTGAATGTTTTAAATTTCATAATGAGATAAAAATAAATTCTACCATACTTTTGAATATTTTAAATTTCATAATGAGATAAAAATAAATTTCCAAGCCATCTGATAATAAAACATGTTTTAGCACTTTAATGAGCGCCTTATTTTGATTGGTTTGGGCCTCTGCCTCATACAAACCATTCCTACATATATAGCAAACCATTCCCTATATATATTACCCGTGCAGCATAATTTTTTTTCATCTCTTCATTCTATATTTTTTCCTTATTGCAAGCATGTTAACTAAGAGCACAAAAATTGTACGAGAAAAGCATGATGTTTGAACTTTTATATCTAAATGTTAATAGTGTTCCTTCTAAAGAGAAAAATTGCTTGCCTATAATTATCTTAGCGTATATTTAATATAATGTTAATTTAGATAAAAAAAAATTATTCAAGTAATCAAAATTTTATTTTCCATTATACCAGCATATTAACATGTGCTTTGAACACGTCCTGGCATACACATATAGTATGTGCGTGTGCTCATTCAAGCCCAAAAGAGAAAGTAATGAAGATACTAACAGCAAAATTTTATTATATTGAAAAATAAAATACTAGCCATAAGAGCCATTGGTTGAACTTGGTGGAAGTACTGTTTAAAAAACAAATCAACGGAGTGGATCACCACCGATTCCACGTCGGCTGGTAGGAACGTCATTTCAGGAAAATATTCAAAAATATAAAAATAAATTAAAAAATTAATATAAAATGAAAAAAATGTAAAGGGGCTTAAGACATTGGAATATACCTAGAAAAATAAATAAATAAATAAAGACAAAAAAAAGAGGTTTTTAGCGGGGGACCAACTGGTACCCCAACAAGTGGCTAGCAGTGAACCGGCGCCGACCATATCCCGGTATGATTGGCGATTCCCAATGTGGACTGCATTCAGTCCGATCGAACACATAAACAAGAACTTGCAATGTAAATGTGCTGGTGAAGATCATGAATAACAACACTGGTCCACATCCCTATATCTCACTAAAAATGAATTCGTTAAACAAAAATATCAAAGTTGGATATAAGTCAAGGCACATTTTTGGTGGGGGGGCATTTTATTCGAAGAAGGTGAGAAAAGCCAGCAACAACATGCAGTCGACTTGTGGGAACGCCAGTCTTTGCTATGGCCGTGCCATACTTGTCCAGGAGGACAAAGCAAGGAACATACTTGATATCAAAATGAAGAAGCTGCACAAGTTGTAACAAGTAGGAAATCATATAAGAACCAGGACCTCAAAGCCAAAGAAACCATAAGATCAGATCAAATAGATAAAATAGATAAATAAATGTCACCTCTCTCTCGCTCAAATAAACCATAAGATCAGATCAAATAGATACATCAGATAAATAAATGTCACCTCTCTCTCTCTCTCTCTCTCTCTCTCTCATCAAGTGTGTTATGCAAAACAATCATCTTGCCAAGTGTGTTCAGCAACAAAAACGAAAACCTCATAGATCAAATACCAAAACATATGTTTCTTTAGGCTCGTTAGCATATCAAACAACAATCAGAAAATATATATAAAGAGATGTATTATTAAGCAATCAGAACAAACCCATATATTTCAGAAGAAGGAATAAAAGTTTTCTTTTGAGTGCTCTTTCATGGTGGATGCATATGCATTGACAAAACTCCCGGGAGGTTTATGGTATTCAGACACATTGCGTTGATGATGGAACCAGGAATCATTTTTTCTTTCTTTTCTTTTTTTTTTCTCTTTTTACGGTAGAATGGGGCATCATTTCCCTTCAAAAGCCACAAAAACCATGAGACATGGGATACAACCAACCTAAGTCATATCCAAATGTCTCAATACCACATGTAATAGGGATGTATATACAGACTAACATCACGAGAAGAACAAGGATCAGCATGTTCCTGGAAAATCCAATGTTATCGTACAAAGCATTGCGAAGAATGTGAATGCTTTGATCAACATTTAAAATTTCCTGAAAGGAAGAATCTGGATGTGGATATGTCGTTGCCGACTCGGATGGACTGCTTGCAAGTACTTAAGTGAGCATCAAAGACTCAACGACATCTTCAGCATTTGTCAGCATAAATGAATAAAAAATCAACTTCAACTGGGAAAAACTAGCTTAGTCAACTCCACCACTTGCTGAGTTTATAAATAAAAAACTCCAGTATGCTCGAGTTTGTGTGTGTCAACGGTGTCTTTGTGCATCTCTGTGCCTACATCATCATCCATCGTCAGAGCCTTTCCCCAACTAATTGGGGTTGGCTGTCTCTGTGTCTACATGTACAAATATATATGCTTCTTTGGTACTTTGTTATCTAATAACAGTTGAGGTGGTAGCACTGTGGTTTTTTACTTGGCAACGAGCAGGGTTCAAACCCCATCATCGAGATCAATCCTTTTTTGGTCTCTTCACAAAACAAACTAAGAAATCCCCCCAACTTTTTATGAGCTGACTGTTCAACTCTGCAAGTCAGCTCGGTTTTGGCACGGACAGAGTTGACCACTGATTTCGTGTTTTTAAATCTGGTTAGTCTTTTGTAAATTTTCCTCAAAGTTGTCGAGCCCAATTGGCTGTACCCAAATGCCAACTTGGTTTGACCCCTTGCGAGTAATCAAGCAAATGTGAGACCTAGCCACATCTTAAGTATTTGTTAGTCTTTACTTTACTTTGTTCTTATGTGCAGAGCCAACTTGGGACCGGGCCCAATGCTGCAAATTCAGATTTTCTATGCTTCCATGCTACAAAAATGCATATTCCAAAAAGATCAGAAATAGACATTGAGGTTCTCTTATCAAAGAAAAACGTAATCTCCAAAGAAAATTGATACTATGAAAACTGAATCTTCTGCCAAGGATAGAAAAGTATGGTTGGTACAAACAGCAATTAAATCAAATGGCATTCTAGAATGTTATAGAGCCACTTTACTAGTTCAATGATTTAGTCAAGTTGACCACACAAAGCTTTTTTCTTGACAAGGTTACACATAGGAATGGAACTTGAGATGTTAGAGTATGAAAACCTAGCCTCTACCATCTTGACACAAACCCGTTTCCTTGACCACACAAAGCTTCTAAATTTTAAAATATAAGAAAAACCTAACATCATCACACAGATCTCAGCATTAGCAGACATTTATACTAGATATTAAAACCAAATAAGGAGAATGCAATTGCTAAATGCACATCCAAATAAGTTTTATATATAGGAACCACAAGGGTTTGAAGACACATTATCCATGTCAAATGTTTGTACAACATATAGAAATATGTGTTAAGTTGGGAAAACTCTTTAAAACTTACATCCAGGTCAAGGAGATGCAGTTTGGAAAAGATAGGACCTTTAACTAACAAACTTTACATCCAGGTCAAGGAGATGTAGTTTGGAAAAGATAGGACCTTTAAATAACAACACTTATAAGCAGTGTTCGCAAAATCGAACCGAAACGGTTAACCGGACATGGGCCTGGAAGTGGTTTAACTGGCCTAACCAGTAAACCTGCCGATTCAACCGCTCTAACCGGACAAGTCCCGGGCGGTAAAAAAAGAGTTGAAAAAAATAGAAAAAATACAAAAAAAAATCTACTAAAATATGAAAAGCATATAAAGAATGATTAAAACACAACACATTCAAATGAAGTTGAAAATTAATGAAAAAAATGGATTTTAACCCATTTTATATTTTCCAAGGGCTATTTTTAAAATTTTCTAAAACAGATGGGAAAATATAAAAGTGAGTATTAATGACCAAAACAATTTTTAATCGTTACCATAATGTAAAGAATATTTAAAATACATTACAAATCAAATTCCTTATTTTTGGGAATTTATATACATTTTTTTTATTTTTTTACTTTTTAAATACCGGTTGATCACCCTAACCGCCCAAAACCAGAACCGGCCACTGGCCGGTTCTAATCTAACCGGCGGGTTAGTGGTTAGATCGGGCAATTTTGCGAACAATGCTTATAAGAGAGATCAACATATCACTCTTTTTCAACTGCATTATTTTAGGCATCATCCTACAATTGCTTCAAGAAAAGTCAATGACACAAGAAATTACCAGAAACAATGCTAAAGATATGTCCAAACTTCGAGGCAATCTGAGCAAGCGTGAAGCAATCTAGTAAAGTGAAGTTGCATACAAAATAAACATGAAGATCAAAGATATGAAGTGTGCTAGGATCAAAAGAAAGTGCTCTCTTTTCTTTTGTAAACAAACTGAATTTTTTTACGATGTTGGATGATGTTCGACTCTAAACTCATGCCCCCACCAGGCAAAACAGAATCTTTAGAAGCATGTGGTGGAAAGATTAGCAATTTCACCATTCAAAAGTTTGATTCACGGCTTAAAATAAAGGCAGTCCACATAGCCTAAATTGTTTCTGTAACTTCATATACGAATTCAGTCAAGACAATTACAATCCAAAACTGTGAACAGAAATTCTATGATAGCTTTGGGTCTATGGTGGTTTACATTATAAAAATACCCATGAGAAGTGGGACAAGCAGCCCATAGAGCCTAAATTGTTTCTACGTGTCATATATGAATTCAGTCAGAACAATTACAATCCAAAACTGTGCAGAGAAATCCTATGATGGGTCAGTGGTGGTTTACATAATGCCATGGCCGTGTGCTTGATATGAAGCACATTTAAATACAAATTGGGTGGGACCACGATTAGAGACCACCTAGAGAAGGACGCAATCCAAAACGCGATACAAATTCGAGACCACCTAGGTTCTACACCAGCCACAGTTTCCAAACGTATAGGCCATACCAACTCTATGGAAGCCGAAGCCCTCGTGCTTTTGGAAGGCCTAAAACTCATACAACCCTTCCACCTACACTCTCTAGTGGTGGAAGGTGACTCCAAGGACACCATTTCTTGGGCTCAGAGACTTTCTTGCTCACCCCCCTTGGTTCCTAGCGCAAGTGTTTGCCGAGATTCATCACCTTTCCAGGAATATGTCCGTCATGTGTATGCATACTTGGAGAAACTAGGAAGCTGATATGCTCGCCAAAGAAGCAGCTACGATGGCAGCAAACTGATTTTTGGGTTTTTAACTTTTTTGGGCTGTTCTTTTTTGTTCTTCGGACCAACCTATTTTATTAGGTTGCTACCCAGTTGTAACCTCCTAAAAAAGGACGCGATCCTGCCTCTTATTTTGCCTTCCCTTGAGCATCCTTTTCTGTGGATCACCAAGGTCTTTTGTACTCTTCTTTCTTCGCTCGCAATTTAATGTTAACATTATAAATAAATAAAAAGACATAGGATTCCCCCACATTTATCCAAAATAAATGTCATGTAGAATAAAGCTGATATCAGTTCCAAGCGCAAGAAAAGAGTCCAGACAGATACCATTGCTGAAGAGCAGTATGGCATGCTCCTGCGGAAGCATCCTGCATACTTACTCCCTCAGGCAAAAGACAAAGTGCGTATGATCCTCCTCTTCTTCTTCTTTATTTTTTCGATTTTTTTTTCTGAGGTTGGTTGCTAGGTTGGGGAGGTTACATCCCTAAAATTTGAGGACATGTAAATACACTCCTAGGTAGAGTTTTATCCAAGGGTGTGAAAGGAGGAAATGCCCACGCGGGAGCAAATAATTTTTTGATATTGCTGAAACCATAGCAGAGATATCATACGTCTAGGTATGTATATAAGCAAAAGCAAGCACACATGCATACAGACATGCGCATGCACACACACACACACAGCTTTTGATTTCTAATTGTCACTAAAATTCCATAAAATTGGTATTCAGCAAGATATCAAATAGCATCAAAAAGTGCAATCAATTGGGGACGAATGCAACTATAAAAATTAAGGGAATGGGGCGAGATTATCACTCAAAGCAAGGTCCCTCTAATCACTGCATCTCTAGGCAAGGAAACAACTTCACTGACATCTCTCACAAACATGGCTTCATGAGTCCGTAAATTCAAGAAATGCATCCATCAAGTTGCAGTCCCTCAGGAATTTTCCTAATCGCTGCATTCCACCTAATCAAAGTTTATAAACTCATCCCAGGTCAACTCAAACCCAATAAGTAACCTAGTCAACAGAGTCGCAATATCTTGTGCCAGTTCCAATAGATGATTCCTACACCCATAAGGACCAGTTCCCAAATGGAAATGCAATTGAATTTTGGATTTAGAATCCCTTGTGGTGGTGGTGGCTTGCTTGAACAAATACCAGGGCTACATCT